ATCCTTCAGAGCTAAAGCCAGTCCACATGTCAGTTACAGGAAATAAAACACCTTCTAATTCTACTATTAGACATTCACTCCTTAGGAGAGGGTTCAAAGGCTTCAGTTCATTCCTGAGGAAGGGGACCTGTTAACCTATAGGCATCTCAGCTAAGAGCAAAAACAGGCATGTTGATGCTGGGGTGAGAGCAGTCTGGAGTCCCCAGCTCAATAATGAGGGGTCCCAGGAAGGGCTGGCAGGCATTTATAAGAGGGTGGGAAGGTCCCCTGGAGAATGGGGGGACAGTGAATGTGATTCTTTAAAGGAAAGGGGGAGGTCAGAATTCCCGGGGACCTCTAGCTTATGTCCTAAGAGGCACACCAGGGCTGCCTCTGAGCCCAGTGTGGGAGGGACAGCAGGTCGCAGAAAGGTCTCTCCTGACAGGCCAGGAGTGCCGCGCGTGGGTCCCACCCCAGGTCCATGGATCTTCTCACGCTCCCTAAACATGCCAAGCTGTCACATCTCTGCGTGGGCTGCTCATTCTGCGTGGGAAGCCTTTCTCATCCTTGCAAACTCTTGGCCATCCTTCAAGGCCCACCTGAAGCACCACCCCGTCCCCAGGCAAGCCCTTCCCTCCCTCTGGCTCCAACCACAGCTGGCACAGACCCCGGGAAGGTACCAGTGGGAGAAGGTAGACATGTGCCTCTCTCATCTGGCAGGGACTGAGTCTCACTCACCTTTGGTCCCCTGCACCACAAACTGAACCTGGGGGCAGGAAAGCCCAGGAATTGGAACCAAGAAGCCATCCTGTTGCCTTCCCACCATGAGGCACTGTGCAAACAGCCTGGCCTCTGTGGCCTCACAGGTCTCTCCCTCTGCTGAGATTAACTGGAACCATGGTAATAGAAGCACCTAATGTTTACTGAGCACTTACTATGAGCCACACACTACCCCAAGGGCTCTCCATGTGCTACCTCCTTTCACCCTTGTGACATTCTCATAAGGGAGTTACTATTATTAATCCTGCTACACAAGGGAATCAGGCACAGAGAGGTTAAGTGAATTGTCTGGTGCCATAGAGCTTGCAAGAGAGGAAGCCGAAATTCAGACCATAGTGGTCTGGTTCCGGGCCCGATATACTTTTTTTTTTTTTTTTTTTTTTTGGTATGGGGGCCTCTCACCATTGTGGCCTCTCCCCCTGCAGAGCACAGGCTCCGGGCGCCCAAGC